TTTAATTGATCTCTCTATCTCTGTATAACGCATAATATCTATCATGTATCTGTATAATGCCATAGCAAATCTCAGCATCAAATTCCATTGACAGAAGCGATAATTATCGACTTCGACGAGATAATCACTATAGAGAGACAGACAGGCTCACGATTCCGCAATCGAAACGCCGCCGGTAGGAATTTCGCCGAAGAATCCTCCCAGATATGCCTCTTGGAGGCAGCGCGTTTGATCTCGGAATCATGGCATTTGGGGCTTTGATAAGCCAAAACGCATACGAATATCGATATTAATACTATTTAAGTACACTACAGTCAACATGCGTATGTTAAAGCAAACTGCTAAATGCTTAATAATAATCCACATACTCATCAGTATAATTACGAATAATAGTTCTTTCTCAATAACAGTTAAGAGTACAAATAAAATTACTAAAACTAAACTACAGAACTACTACTAGTTCATTTAACACACAAAACATAAATTTAAAGGTCAATACCATGTTATATATTATTAAATCATATCAAGTAAGACATTGCATAATAATGCAAAACTAATCATATTCAAATTAATTAAACGAAATATGTTTTATTTATTTGTTGAGAAATATAAAAAATAGAATAGATAAGTGATTACAAAGTGTTTCGTTCATTATTTAAACAAAAAAATTAAATGATTTTCATAAGTTATGCAAATCGTCCAGTAATAATTTAGAAATTGAATACATAAGCCGTATAAGTAAAACGTATAAGTGTACTTCATGCTTAAAATTGCTTGATTATATTTACATTTAGTCTGTTTTCATATCATTTTTTTTTTAAATGATACAAAGACTCAAAGGCAAATAAAAATCATGTGGGCGTTTTAAATTACTAGTTATTGAAGTGTGTGATTGGGTTAAATTGTCAAAACATGGAAAAATTAACATATATTACTAACAATTTTTAAATAGTATGAAACGATGTGAATATTAGTGATTAGTGATAATCAAGTAATAATTTGATATAAAATATGTTAAAAAATATCTTAGATACCTCGTACAAAAGCCACAATTGTGTATCATTTTTAGGATAATATTATATGCTGGATATCAATATTTTACTACAAATATGTAATTGTGTATTGAAATATTATGATAATAAGCTTAATATCAAGTTAGTAAAAAGTATATTATAATTCAATATATTGCAGTTAAATTATATATGGCTAAAATTTAAAGCTCGAATAATTAAAAAATGCTTTTATGATCTATGAGTCTATTCCAATGAGTGTCAAGCTACTATTCTACTGTGTCTCTAATGACCAACTCTGTTACAATTTGACCGAAATGTAATATAAAACAACAAAATATACTAAACATAATATAGAATAGAATAAAGTAAAATAAAATGGAACGCAATTACATGCCAGCCAACCAGAGTCTGGAAGAATTATGACTATTGATAAAGATCACTGAGAAATTTCATTACCGAATGTGCGTGCCTAGTTTTGTCGCAAAAGGGCGACGTGTCTGTATCCAGCATAGGCTCGGGGATGAGGCATCTCAACTATATGAAACAATTGCCAGGGATTAGAGAGACACACCTAACATCACATCACAAAACATCACATATCACAATATACGATATACGATATACGGCCACAATATTACACGAACAAAAGGGATCAAAACACAAGCAAATGAGAATTATTTGACAAAAAAAAAAACTAAAATAAACTAGCTTGAATGTTTTTATCAATGTTGTTTTATGTTTTTATGTTCTAATCAATGAAATAAACTAAAAGCGTGTATAAACAACCATTAAAGTAATGCTAAAAGTTTGAAAATTTGTGTTTTATTCTGCGTGTCAAATTGTACAGATTAGTAATTTCATTCTAGACATTGTACAGCTAAATATTTTTAGAATGCTAACTAATTCATGCGGTAATATATTTTTATTGAAAAAATATAAAATACTCTTCAAGACCAAAAGTGCAAAAAAAAAAACTAATAGAAAATTAATTACATTTGATGTTTTTCATTCATGGACAAAAAAAAATTAATGTGATGCGATATTAAAATTACTCAAAATATTTCAGAATATTATAAGAGAATAAGAATTATATTTCAAGATATAATTAATAAACAATATAATTGAGAAAATAATATGAGATTGCATTACCTAATGTGTTATTGAGCTAGCTATATAGAGTCAAAGGCGCTTATGACAAAGAAATAAATAACTAGTCTCCTACAATGACTACAAAGAATAAAATCATCATAAATCTATTAACAGATATCAAGCATATAAAAACCAAATAATTAGCTAAAATTAAATAAAAAAAAAATTGAAAAAAATTATTCACCTGTCCGGCGGCTGCAGCTGCATTATTAGGATCCCCAGATTCCTTTCCCCAAGAGCATTTCACAGGCTGAGCATTTATTTCTGAATTATGTACGGCGACGATTGCATGCGTGGCTGCTTCTTTTGTCGAAAATCTGAAAAAATAAATGATTAAATTTATACAATAAATAATTTAAGAATTGTTAGGAATATCGAAATCATGCACCTCGTATTTCTTAAGTCGTTGGTTAGATCATGAAAATGGTAATTATGCGTAACACTTGACATTTTTATTTTTTAATTTCTATTAATATTCATAAAAATCAATAAGTGTTCTATATATGCAGATTTGTTATCATCTTCCATTATGATATTCAAAATTGATACTCTTAGAAATATGGATCAATTTCATCAGAACTAGACCTAGTCAACATAACTAGATCTGGTCAAAATTTGATTTAACGTTGATTTTTTATTTGAGATATAATAATGAGTATTTAAACAAAACATATGTTATCGAATAAACTATTTGATTCAAATAGTTTGAAAAATAGATTACAAATTTTACAACTTTACAAAATTTGAAAATTAATTTAGTATTCTCTCGAATGTGACAGCAAGACAAATAATAAAAATCTTTGTTAATAAAATATTTAGAAATATATTTTACCTTACAAATGCGTATCCTTTATCCTTGAAAACGCGGATTTCTTGTATGCTTCCGAAGGGAGCAAATGTCTTTTGCAGAAGTTCTTCGGAGAGACCTCCGGCGAGACCTCCGCCCAGGCCACCGCAATAAACTGTGCAATTCGTGGGCGAACTCTGATTGTACACCTCGTCGAAGGTTAGAGGTTTTGCATTTACTGAAAAGAAAAAAATTATAAATGATAAGAAAATGATGAATATATATTATTTACATTTTAGTAGTTAATATTATTTTATTTGTTGCCGATATATAAATTAGTATTACAATTCAAAAAATAAATTGGATTACAAGAAGAAGAAATTAAATATCAAAGTTATTGTAATTATTATTAAAATTAGATTTAAAAATATTTATAAATAAATTATTTCTCAATAAAAATATCAAAGCATTAGTAATATTAATATTATTTCAAATAATTCAATATTAATAATTAAGTTATTCTTTATTAAAATAAAGTAATAATAATACTGATTAAAATAGTCATTATTATTAGGAGAAATATTATTAATTATAATTGAAGTATATTAGTACCTAAAAAAGCTAATTTTATGATTTAGAAATATTAACTGCAATATACCTAAAACAATAATATCAAATATATTTTATTTACAATGATTTTTAGATTTTATGCTAGATTATTATTCTACTACATATAATATAAAAATGTATTTATGTACTAAAAAGTTATTGAGAATCATGATAAAAGAATAGGTCAAAATAAATGAATGTATTCAAAATTAGAGTGAATAATTTAATGAAACCACGACCATAAGGCATGGTTTTAAATATACAAATATATAAAAAATATGTAGAATATAAAAATATATAGAGAAATTAAATAAGTTTGTTATTTATATCACCCAATTGATATAAGAATATTGGTTTGAAATTGGTTGCACATTTTTGGTATATTTTCTTCATTAGAAATAAAGTATAACGTAAAGTATTTAATAGTAGACAAAAAATATAGACAATTTGTCTTTCTCTATATTTAGTATAATTTTAATATAAATTCACTCATTCTTAGTTTTCTATCATTTTTATTTTTTTAGTTTAATATTTCATTTAAATAATAATTTATATTTAAAAAAAATACGATTTGCTCCTCGAAAACAAACATGAGAACGATGGCTTGAACAATTTGAATGATTCTTAAAAAATTATAAATTTGTGGAAACTTGTGAATAAATTTTTAGTAAATAAATATTCTGAACTGTATGACATAACATGTCAAAATGAAATTAAAATTTAAGCTTGAAATATTCGATTTTCTCTAATCTATTTATTTCAAAATTATCAATCGATTATTATAATGAAAATTCTCATTACTCATTAATTTAGAAATAACCACAAAAATACTTCCGAGAAAATGATCAAATAATATGTACACACTTTGAATAATGTTAAAAATACTGATCTTTTATATATAAATACAAAAAGCATTCATAAATCCTATCTACTCAGAATATGAAACAATTTATTATTATATATAAAATACCATAGAAGTTAGTACATATATAAATAGAAAAAAACACAAATATGCCTATTATCTAAGAATATAATATTATTAGTAATGATATTAAAAATATGTTAAAATTATTATTTTAATAATTTAAATAATTTATTATAAATAGCCAATATATAAAAATTGAAGGATTAACTATGTTATATATAATTTAAACAAAAATTTAAATTTAAAAAAACATTTAGGATTTAAAAGAGAGTCAAAAATAAAATTGAGGAAAAAACAAATTTGAAATATATCACACCATGCATTTACTTCAATATGTCGAGGTTTATATATTAGAAAAATGATTGAGCATAATACATAAAATCTTTTTAATTTAACTTTAAAAACAGCAAATAATCTAAGTACATATTATATTTATATTTTCCATGGTTTACAGAATATCAACTAATCTATGCTCAATCAGAATAATAAAAATTTATAATACAAAATTTTGAGATAAAAATAGCAAAATTACTTAATACAATAAATATTATGAATTCGACATAAAATTTGAATAAATTGCATGGACATGATAGAAACCATGCATAGGACTTACGTAGCGGGATATTTTTAGGGCGCCTAGAATATCTGAAAAAATAATAATTTAAATTTCACATTCAAGTAGAAAACCATAATTAACCATTACCGAGGATAATACATATGGATCATAGTAAATAATTAATAATATTTTTGTATGTTATTTCAGACTACGATATCTAACGTTTCATCAAAATCGTCAAAAAAAAATAAAAATCGGTTCAATTTTTTTAAGAAAACATCGACAAAAGGTCAATAATCGGCTCACATACACACACAACACACAAACGAAATCATACACAAACACACACATACTTTTTCCAAATTTGGTCTCATTCGATGCAGAATGATTTAAAACGTCGAGAAGACAAAATTAATAAAATGGATTTTTTCGCGAGAACAAACTTTTCACTAGGGAAGTTAATAAATACAAAATCTTTAAACTGATTTTGTTAAGTATTATTACTAAACCTACCAAGTTTACAAAGATGCTATAATTTTAAATTATAAATTACAATTAGAATTTTTCAAGAAGTAACAACATCAATTACTAAACCTTTATTATTACACGGATTGCAAGTAAAATTAAAAACAAGCAAGCTGTTTAAAACGAGATGTTACCGAGATTTTGTCATCAGTCCCGATATTTTAATTAAAACGAAACGCAAAATGTTCGTATTTGGCAAACGCGGCAACGCAATGATCGCCGGCATAAACTTTTGTAATATTGTACAGTTTATGATTATTGCACTACAGTGACATGAAAAGCGGGAACGCGGGCGGCGATCAAAAATGAAAAGATCGGGGTGGCGATGCAAAAGCACGAAGAAAGGCGGGAAAGCGGGCGCCCCTGATACGACAATGAGGACGCCCCGGTTTGATTTGAAACGCGGCGGCATTTTACTCCGTAACGGAGAGCAGGCGGAGAGATGAGATTATTATGATAAAGACATCTGAGATACACGGAAACTGGTGTCTAATTAGTACCTTATAAATTTCAACACAACACAAAACCCTATCATAAATTACGGTACTAATAAGAGAAGATGATGGTTCGGTGCGCTGTTGTTTCGTTCGAGGAGACCGTCGGAGGAGTTAACTGAGATGATGGGATTAAAAATATTTTGGAGGAGGAAATACGCTCGGGATTATTTACATTGAATTCCAAAATTTTAGATTAGATAATACATTGTCTATGGTATATATTTTTTATTTCGATTTGTGTTTACGTTGTAATGTATAAATTAGTAGGATTCAAATACTAATTTTTGCCTTCATAGCTTCTATGTCAAGCAATAAAGAGAACAAATGCGGTTATTAAAAAGAACAAATAATATAAACAATGTTATATATATACATATATATATATATATAAGTTGGAAATATATTTTGTTATATATAATTGAAATAGGTTTTCAAATTAAACTACGAATATTATTTCCATCATACCGGCAAATCAGTTAAGTATCTTATCATCAGTTAAATATCTTATTATATAATAATCTTCTTTCCTCAAAGGTCGGAAGGTTGTCTCGAGCCTGATTTACATAACTAAGGTATAAAGAGTAGATTTGAATTACTGCCGTGCAAATCTCATTAATAATACATGTAATTCATGAGCGGATTAGTTGCTGGATGAGAAACTAGAACCTCCACAGTCGCACACAAACGAGCACTTGTGCATTACATACGAATAGCTTAAGTGATCAATCACGAACGCCATGTATACGTTAAAGCAGTCAGAAACTAACGAGATATCAAGAAGAGAAGAGCCCCCCGAATTGGCTAAGTAGGAAACCGCTCTCTGGTTGGAAAGATGCGAAGACGCACGGCCACGCGACTTCTGAAGATTAAGTCATATCAACGCTGAATACTGTATGAGAGATTGTGATGAGAGAACTTTCGTACATTTTCATGCATTCATTAACCGGGTGATGTATATGTATATCATTCGAGCGCGTCCTGATGCTGCCGACGTACGAGCCGCACATGCTGATGGACTATATTTTTAAGTCGGGTTTGTTTAGTCGCGAGCACGAACTTGTTTAGTTTCGCTGCGCTGGCATAATATTTAGCACTCGACGCGCCGCCGCCGGAGCCGCCGCCGCCGGAGCCGCCGCCGCCGATATTCCGGGGCTCCGGGCGACTGTGAGGAACGACGAGAGAGCGATTCTGCTGAAAGCGTCGGGCGGGCAATACTTTGAATTAGTACGTGACCGGAGTTAAATCCTATCTCTTCGTGAAGATTAAGCCATTGCGGAATTTTTTGTACTACTATATTAGGACATAATACCAATAACATAAAAAATTGCAATACAAAAAATGTTATTCATTGAAGCATTTTTTACAGCTATTTGTTATCTGAGTGACATCAATAAGTACACAGAATGATTTAATGATATTATTAATTACAATTATTAAGAATATAGAATAATTATCTCTTTTGTTAAACTATAAATAGCACGCAATTTTAAATAGCATTCTACAAACGCAAAAAAAAACTCACAAAACGATGTGTTTTTTATCATTATCATGTTGAATACATTTTTAAATAAAATCTGCATAAAGTGTTAAATTCCAAAACCTCACAACGTAATGAAACACCTTTTAAATAATAATGTCAAAGCGTTTTCAGAACGCTAATTTGCAGCGGATATAACTGGTAACATTCAAAGAGATATGTCGTAATTAGATAGTAGAAAATATGAAATAAAGTCTCCACTCCCTCTAATAATCAATTTACTGCGAATAATTAAAATTTTAACTAGATTTTTCCACGGCCGTTTATGACACTAGGACTTAACATTAATTGTATTACTTTGCACATGTGCAGTATTTAAAATTACGCATTAAATAAGAGCACAACTTTAGAAATAAATTTCATGTCGTACGGCTATATGGAGTTAAAAAAGTTATTTAAACTTTTTGTTATGCACTGATATAAAACATTGTGTAAAAGTATTAAAATTTAAACTAATTTACTGCCTTGAGCAATTATTATATGCAATATGAAAAATAACACTGAACAAAGTGTTGGAGCAAATAGGATTTAAATACGACAGCTAAAAGCAAATAATGAGAGGTCAAGTATATAACAAAATTACACTCAT